TTAGTAATTGCACTCTAAAGTAGATTGCAACCTTAGATTTCTATTGCATGACTTGGATTAGAAGTCAATAATAGACGTGATAAAGAAAATTTGGGACCACACAGAACATAGGTAAAAATGCGTCGATGAAATTGCAAGTGAGGTCCATTAAACTATACGAAGAAATTGCGAGTAATTTCTAGCAAAAGGCTTCTTTCTTAATTTAATTCTCCACATCCTATCATTGATTTGATTACAAGGACTTTCTTGACATCATGATTTGGCCTTAAGCAATTGCGAGTAATCTTCTCCTCTATTTTTATTGTTAATGTATCACGACATAAACTGATGATACTATCGTGATATATTGACTAATTTGTTGCATTATTGATTAGTTATCGTGATATATTGACCAAGGTACTTTGAAGTTTTATTTAATTTTGGCTTTTAAAATTTGGTGCATTTGATAGTGAAATGATTATGACCTTCTTGTGGTCCTGTGGGGACCAAATGAATGAAAAAATAACAAAAAGAAATTTAAAAAACAAATATAAGAAAGATGTGAGGATTATCAATGGATATTGCTTGTCTCCTTCCTCCTTAAAAAAAAAATACTCATTATTTATGTGAATCACAATTTAATATATATACAAAAATAATTTATTTAAAAAAATATATGCACACATATCAAACAAACATGCTTTAAATTGGGCAGGATTGAGACTGCAGCTTAGGATTGACAATTAGTTTTGTTTAAATTTTTTTTATAGGAGACAATTAGGCTTAATTTGTATATATAAAACAGAGGGAAAATTACAGAAATAAGGATGGGGCCAAATTCAAAAACATGTAACACGCCAAAAAGGTTTTCTCTCCTACGCAACCCTTCAGCTCTCTATTAACTGGAAGGGATTGTGACCCGCGGCCGTGGCGAACAAGTGCCATCGCCAGTTCCATGGGGTCAACCTTGTTATTATTATTATTATTATTATTTTGGGTTTTAAATTTAGAAAATCAAAGTAAAAATATAGAGGGTAAAATTATTGTCTTTTTAAGTTCAATAAGTGTTAATAAACGGGAATGCAACTATCGCAGGCAGTATCTCAAGCCAATCATACGCTATCATGCATTTCAATTTTCTCACATAAAAATGTGTTATTAGCTTGAAAAACCGTCATAGTGACATCTCCGTTGCATGAAAATTCTTATTAATTTAAAACAAAACCGATATATGGACGAAAATGTGTTAATTTAAAACAAAACCGAGAGAAACCTAAAGAGCTAGAGAAAAAATAAAAGAGAACTCAACCGCTACCCTCTTCATCCCCTCATCCCCTCCCATCTCCTCTCCCTCCCCCCTCATTTCTCTACGTTACATTGAATTTCATGTTTAATTTGCTCAGGTGTGTGACTGTTACGTTGAAATGTATTTGAATTAATCCTTTATGATTATTGTGCATCTATTTTTGTATTAACCTTTTATAATGAATATTTGGCCTCTGTGTTCAATTATTAAATACAATTACTGCTAATATATATTTTTTATACAAAATTTAGATCATCTTCGAAAATAAAATTTGAATCGAAAATTTTGCGATCAACATGATTTTTCTGTCCATATGGTCGGTGATCCCCATCATCTGTACTTAATATATACAGAAAAAGCAGGTGCTTCACCTTTTTTCAAATTTCTTTGTTTTTTCTCTTGGTCGAGCCTTGTGGGTCTGCCATTCATTGAACCGCATGTCGGCATTAGCCAAGTTGGTGCTTACTATCGTCACCCTTCGGATACGGCACCATGGCCCCACATTACAATTTATTCTAAGTATGGTGGGTCCGTCACATTTTAGTCTAATAAGCTGGATGCTTTTTCACCCACAAAAAAAAGTTTGATGCTTATTTTGAATCGATAGTGATGATAGGAATGGGATGGGCTGGTTGTGAGGAGAAATTCTTGGGAGCGGTTGAGTGAAATTTCATGCATTTCCGTGAAATTCACGTTCTTTCTTTTAAATCTCTTCATTTTTTTTTAATTTACAAACAAAGATATTCATTAAACAACTTCAGTATTACATTAAAGACGTGTATAAGATACAAATCTCAACATAATTGCATAAGTAATGACTCGTAACCCTTACGGGTTGGCCCAGTGGTAAGGGCGTTTCCCAGGCCCTATGTAAACGGGAGATCTTGGGTTCGATTCCTGCCGTTGGTGAATCAAGCGATGAGGGCCAGGGACGAGGTGAAATTCCCTATAGCCTCTCCGGGTCCCGGAACGGGTGGATGGCCGTGGCTTGCCACCAGCTGTCCCCCTTTAAAAAAAAAGAAAAAAAAGAAAAGAAAAAGAAAAACAACCCGAAAGTGACAACAACCTAAAAAGAAAATCCACATAAACAACTAATAAACTGAAATAACTAAAATCTAACATAGTATGCCTAAATCATGACTACCACCATATATAGAAGCTTCGCCGCCATATAACCCACCGCATCTAACCTAGAAGAACATGTAAGAACAAAGGGCAGAGAATAATCAGTCTCCAACGATCTAACTACGCATAAAAGACAAATAAAAGTCGCATAATAGCCGAAAAAAAACAGTCTTGATTTGATAAATATTGCGAGATACAATGGGCAAATTGCCACTCTAAACGACTCAAAGAAAATTTTCATGTACCATAATAAATAGAAGGTCCTCCTTAATAAATAAAAAAGAACTTAGACTCCCAAAAGGGAACAATGGCCTTGTTTACTTGCGATATACTTGTAACCTCTCTCATCATTATCAATGGAAGGATATTCTTCCTATTCATTGTGTTCTTCCTTTGTCATAATCAAACTTATTGTAACCTTCCCTATTATTAGGTGGTAAAGGTTCTTACGTTAACCAAGGTTTTTACGTTAACCACTGAGATTTCACAAGTTAAACACAGTACAACTTAAGCATTTGACTACCTTCACTTGGTTGGTGGGGCTGGTTGCGATCGATAGAGTTCGTAGACATTCGTATGACCTATAGACAGCATATGGAAATTTTTTGAAAAAAAAATAAAAAAATTGTTTTTGCTCCAGTAATCTATCCACCTCATCCATTCATTTATGTTATTTGTATGGTGCACCACTCTCTGTCAGTCCATATTCAGCTTAGAAAGGGACAACACTTTCTTGAGATATACACAATTTCTCATCCATGAGATATCATGATATATTAAATCAATTTCGACGAATGAGTAGTAAATCACAATTTCTCATGCATGGATTTATCATAAGATATATTTAAATAAAATATTGGAAGATTATTATCCTTTGATCCAACTGAGAAAACAATAATGCGAAAAATAGGGGAAAAGGTCATTGTCCAGAATGAGGTATTGAGAGAGAGAGAGAGAGAGAGAGAGGGAGAGGCTGAATTATTTGGACCAGAAATGCATAAAAGAAGGGACAAAATATGGTGTGTGATTGTTGATTAAGACTCCCTCCCCAGTCTCCCCCATGATCTGGAAATCTTTGGAATTGTATTTGTACAGGTTCAACCAAAGACTAATTAAATTAAAGTCACATTCAAATGGTACATGTCATAAAGGAGTCAAACCACAATTTTGATTAACTTTAAGAAACTAAACCATGTTTCCAATTACAACCACTTGTACAAGACAAATTTGACCAAAATAATGATATTTGGTACAGCATTACCACTACCCCTTTTGAAAGTCGAAAGGTTGCACTCATAATTCAGGCATAAAGGTCGTCAGCCACAAGAGTCAATATAATACAATAATTTTAAGAGTTAATATAAATATACACAAACCACACAAATAGTTAACTTAATACAAATATATTATCATTAAATTAATTACCGTTGAATGAGTGTGATTTGACACATCTAAATACATCTTAAATTGAAGTAGATGAATCTGAACACCAGTACTTTTTTACATGAATCTCCTAGAAGCTGCCTATATTCAAATCAGCTGGTGTGTCCCTCAAAGCTGAATTATCCACACACCCAAAAAAAAGAAAAAAGAAAAGAAAAGAAAAATTCTCCTTGTTGACTGAGGAGCCTAATCACTATGATTGTACCTGGGAAGAAAAAACGGTGGGTCCCCTTATAACTTAGGATCAGCTTAACCTACCAATGTTTTGCTTTTGTTTCTGTTTTAAGTAATTAAAAAGTGAATACATTATCTAAGAAGAAAGAAATAGATTTCTGTGAAGGAAAGGAGGAAATCAATCTGGTCTTTTCTTAATCCAAACCCTAGGTGGTTTTATGCTGGGCTAAATACAGGCTCATTGAATGGGCTCCTTTGGGCTCCAATGGATTCTGACAACTACTATGTCTTATGAGTTGGGCCTGTTTGTTTGATTACTCATAATTTCCTTTTTGTTTATTTATTAAGTTTAGGAAACCCTTTTTTTTTAGTAGAGCGATACTTTATCCTTTAATACAAGCGATAGTTTAATTTATTCTAATTTATAAGGATGGGAATTCGAACTTGGAGACAGACTCACTGCCCTGACCAACGTCTTAACCCACATATACTTTTTTAATTGAGCAATTGCTTGTAAGTTTATGAAACACGCCAAATTTTCACATATTTTTGGAAGCTATGAGATTAAGTACCAAATCCTACATAAATTTCAGATTATATACTAACCTTTTCTTTGGAAGCTTTCAGATTAAATACCAAAGACATAGCCTATATTTTTATTTCTATCACATGGCCTATCTTAATCTTTAAGTATCCCAAACCCAAAGGCTTCACATACTTATATAAATAGTGTTACTTTGTTCGTACCATATGTCTAGCCCAGCCCGCATCTTGTGTGGGGAATCTATCTGTTGAGTTTCATAGAAATCCTTTAATTCACCAATAAAAATCCAAATTGAAACATCAACAAAAAAGAATTCCAAATTGAAACATCAACCAAAAAAATAATAATTCCAAAATCCACGGCGCGGAAGTCCACGTTTGAAATATCAGCCAATTGGAAACCTTATTTACTTCCCACACCTCTCTCTTCCATTGGTCGCAGAAGAGAGAGAAGTTGTTGACCTCGCGATCCAAAGATCCAGCGCATCTCTTAATCGAATCACGCCGAGAAAATCATCAGAAGCTCAAATCTTTTTTGGTTTTCCCATCAGAATTCTAAAAACCCATTTCCGTGTGTAAGTTTTTTCATGCATCTTCCTATTCTTTTCTCAGATCTAAATCGTTTTTCTTTGTTCATATTATAATGGATAGTAACTATTCAGCTATCCCCAAGAACTCACATTTAGAATTGCAATCACGATATGATTCTGAAAACCCAGCAGTTCCTCCCAAATCCCATGTCAAATTGTCCTCTTTTGATGAGGAAAGCTTTCTAGATTCGAAGAATTTAAATGGGCAGGATGGTGGTGATGACTTTGATGATAATCTTGATTTTGATATTGCTAGTTATCCCCTTATTGTTGAGGGGTCTAAACAAGGGTCTGGAATCTCTGGGGCCGTGTTTAATCTCACCACTTCTATCATTGGGGCTGGGATTATGGCTTTGCCTGCTACCATGAAAGTTCTTGGCTTGGTTTGGGGTTTTATCTTGATAATTTTGATGGGTATTTTGTCAGAAATTAGTGTTGAATTGTTGGTTAGATTTTCAGTTTCGTGTAAGGCCTCATCGTATGGCGAGGTTGTCCAATGTGCTTTGGGGAGACCGGCAAGGATCTTATCGGAGATTTGCATAATTGTCAACAATGCAGGCGTGTTGGTGGTGTATTTGATAATTATGGGTGATGTTATGTCTGGTTCACTTCATCATATGGGGGTTTTTGATCAATGGTTGGGGCATGGGGTCTGGGATCACAGAATGCTTTTGATTTTTGCTACGGTGGTGGTTTTTCTAGCACCACTTTGTGCCTTGGATAAGATTGATTCCTTGAGCTTGACTTCAGCTGCATCTGTAGCTCTTGCAGTTGTGTTTGTTGTGGTTGCTTGTGGCATTGCGTTTATTAAGCTTGTTGAAGGGAAAATCGAGTCTCCGAGGATGACACCGGATTTCGGGTCAAAAAAGGCGATCTTGGATTTGCTTGTGGTGATTCCTATCATGACCAATGCTTATGTTTGCCACTTTAATGTTCAACCTATATATAATGAGCTTGAAGGGCCGTCTCCTCAGAAGATGAATCGGGTTGGAAGGATAACAACTGTTCTTTGCGTTGTGATCTATTCTTTGACAGCCATAGCAGGGTATCTACTCTTTGGGAAAGATACAGAATCTGATATTCTGACCAACTTTGATAGGGACCTTGGAATCCGTTTCAGCTCAGTGCTAAATTATATTGTCAGGGTTGGATACATTTTTCATTTGCTTCTTGTTTTCCCCGTTGTCCATTTTTCCTTGAGGCAAACTGTGGATGCCTTGGTGTTTGAGGGATCGCCTCCACTCACGGAGAGTAGGAAGAGATGTTTCATATTGACACTGGTCCTGTTGGGACTTATTTATTTAGGATCTACCGTGATTCCCAACATTTGGACGGCTTTTAAATTTACAGGGGCAACAACAGCTGTGTCATTGGGGTTTATATTTCCTTCCCTTATCGCATTAAAGTTAGGCCGGAAAGGGGACGGTTTGAGCCTTGTAGAGAAGACTTTATCGTGGTTGATGTTAATAATGGCAATAGCCGTCAGCATTGTTGGAATAATTGGCAATGTTTATAGTCTCAGAAGCAAATCTGAATGATCCTTCTTGTAAAGATTTGAGAATGGTTGCTTCTGCCTCTTAAAAATATGGTGGTTTTCCGCAGATTTTCACAGGCAAGACTACTCTTATTTATGTGGGTATGGTGCTGCCTATGTGATTTGAACAGTTGAAGGAAAACCGGTACGAGTAGACCCTTGATCAGGAAGTTAGAAGGTGGGAAGATGAGTTTGGAAAGGTTGAAGGGGGTGAGGGGGTGTGCCCTTGTTCCAGTTATAATTCTGTTTTATACTTCTGAGGAATTCTGATAGGTTGATTCAGAATTCATGGAATGTTTTGGGAGGAAAATACTTCTATAGTCATTGCCACCACTTGTAGGTTATATTGAAATTAATTCAAAAGTAGTCACACAATTGTTTCCTTGGTCCTCAAGTACTTCCCGTTTGTTCCATTCTTTTTCCCCCACATTAAATACTGTTGTAAATGTATGATCAGCAACATGCTGTTTTGTAAGTGATACTTTGTTTTTGATCTCCAATAATCAAAATTTTATGTTTTTGGATGATACTATGTTTGAACATCCTGCTTTTAATGAAAATTCTCAATATCCCTTTTAATGTGCCCTTTCTCAACAATCACCAGATGTTAGAAAGAAAGAAATTTTCAATTCAAGAGTATAACTGGTGTGTAATCTCTCTTCTTTCAATCTGAATTTCCCCTTTGGCCTTTCCTTTTCGAGTGATGCCTCTGTTTCTAAGAATTGAATATGTGAAATTTTTCTTTAAATAGATGCAATAGGCAGTTAGTATTAAAGAACAAGGTATTAATATACAAACAAGAAATGCAGCATCCGTGCATCCCTAATCATCATTCTGTATGATAGAAAACTTCTGAATAAATCCCCTACGTATCTATAAAATTGAATTTTGACATTTAGCAGAACCGTCCTCTGAATATCAAAAGGCAGTGACAACTACATTTCCTGTGAGATTAAATATATGGTATCATATCTGGAACTCTTCTCATTCATTTATGGCCATGAAAAAGGGCTTTAACTGGAATTTGGAAGTGAAGAGATTATTGTGCCCTCTAATATGAAACATTGTGATTGCACTCTCCAACTAGGTAGAACTCAAGGTTTCTTCTTAGCCACCAAGGTCACCAATAATCACCACAAGAGCACAAACCATCTTGAAAATGGTGGAACCTATTTCCATCTCGAAGAATAATTTTGCGCTGGGCAACACTGGAGACAAATTTCATAAACGAATGGCAGTCACCACATATCCGGAGGTTCTTCAAAATCTGAATTGGAGCCCCATTTGGTGTTTGCAAGATTCCATAGGCAACAGCAAGTTTCTCACTGTGGTAGAGAAGGTCATCCTCTTTTTGCTCCTCTGCCACATCATGTAGAACAAAATTAGTGTCCGGGACATAACCTGTTGCTCTGAAGCGTCTGTACAACTCATTTACGGCCATGTTAATCTCTTTAATCTCATCGCGTGCCTTCTCCCCCATTAAAAAATAGTGAACCTTATTCTTGATCTGAATCCAGCTGATTCCAGGTTCTTTGGTCACTCCCCTATCGCTCATCATTTCCCTTATTTCTCTCACTTTCCCCCACATACCTCTAGATGCATACATATTTGATAATAAGACATAAGTTCCGGATCTCTTTGTTCCCATTTGGAAAAGCCTTTCAGCCACTCTCTGGCCAAGTTCAGTGTTACGATGGATTCTACAGGCACCAAGAAGTGCTTCCCAAATGACAGAATCTGGTTTTACTGGCATGCTCCGAATGAGATCTTCAGCTTCAGAAAGCCATCCAGCCCTCCCAAGGAGATCAACCATACAGGTATAGTGATAAACAGACGGGGTAATCCCATAATGTTGGCTCATGGAATTGAAATAGGCCCATCCTTCATCTACTAACCCAGCATGGCTACAAGCGCATAAAAGTGCCAGAAAACTAGTTTCATTAGGAGAAATCCCAGTGGTTTCCAT